CAAAGGGCACAGTCAAAAGAAAGAAAGGCAGTCCACATAATGGTAAAAGATATTCACTAACCCCACATCTGACAGAGGGCAAATCTCCAAAGTCTACAAGAACTCAAGATGCAAGTCTCCAAAACACCAAAGGATCCAATTAAAAGGTAGGGTACAGAACTAAAGAGAGAATACTCAATAGGGGAGGCCAAAATGGCCAAGAGACACTTAAGAAAGTGCTCAACATCCTTAGCCATCAGGGAAATGCAAATCAAAACAACTCTGAGATACCATCTTACTCCTGTCAGAATGTCTAAAATCAAAAACTCTGAAGACAATTTATGCTGGAGAGGATGTGGAGAGAGGGGAACCCTCCTCCCCTGCTGGTGGGAGTGCCAACTTGTCCAGCCACTTTGGAAAGCAGTATGGAGATTCCTCAGGAAAATGGGAATCAATTTACCACAGGACCCAGCAATGCCACTCTTAGGCATATATCCAAAGGAGGCAAATTCATACAACAAGGGCATCTGCTCCACTATGTTAATAGCAGCATTATTTGTAATAGCCAGAACCTGGAATCAACCTAGATGCCCCTCAATTGAACAGTGGATAGAGAAAATGTGGTACATTTATACAATGGAATATTACTCAGCAGAAAAAAATGGAATCTTGAAATTCATAGGTAAATGGATGGCACTAGAAGAAACCATCCTGAGTGAAGTAACCCAGTCACAAAAAGACAAACATGGTATGTACTCACTCATATATGGATTTCAGACATGGATCAGGAGAGCAGCAGTCTGCATTTCCACTGACAGAGAGTCTGGGAAACAGTAAAGAACCTAAAAGATATGCATGGTAAACAAGAAAAGAGAAATGAGGCAAGATCCTCTGAAAGGATGGGTAATATGGTAAGGGGTGGGGGACAGGGTGATCTGGGAAATACAGAGGGGGAGAAGAGGAAGAGAGAGGATGTATTAGAGGAACAGGAAGGTTGACTAGAGGGGTAGGATAGGGGGAAATGGGAATCATAGGTTAGAAGACAGATCAGGCACCATTGTGACCTCTGGTAATCTAAAGGGATTACACAAATTGGCAAGCTAAGCAATTGTGTAGACCACCTCGAATGACCATACCTGATAGTGATCATGATGTCTGTAACCATTCTGGAGCCTTCATCCCGTGACTGATGGAAGCACAGGCAAACACCCACAGTTAAATACTGAATTGAACCCAAGGAACCCAGCGACAGAGAGAGAGGAACGATGAGCAAATTGGCAAAAAGAGGGCTGGCAAAACCAGAAGAGACATCTGATCCGAACAGGGGAGAGCTCTGGGACCCCAGACTGACAGCTGGGAGGCCAGCATGGGACCGATCCAGACCCCCTGAATGTGAGAGTCAGTGAGGAAGCCTGGGCTACCTATGGTGTCCTGAACAGTGGATCTGTGTTTATCCCTCGAATGCTAACAGACATTGTGTGTACATAACACAAAGAGGGTTGCTCTCTCTGCCTGGACTCTTAGGGAAGTGCCTGGCCCCTACCCTGAGTGAAATGGTAGACCCTAGATATACTATATTTGTAAGGAATTGGCAATATGGTGTGAGGATGGGGGGTATGGGGGTACAGGAGGAGGGGAGGGAGAGGGAACTGCGATTGACATGTAAAACAAGCTATTTAAAATTAAAAATAAAATATGTAAATATATATGTAAAAAAGAACATTTAGTCTTTAATGAAAGAATTTAAAGAAGACATCAGAAAATGGAAAAGATCTCCCATGCTCTTTGATAAGTAGGATCAATGTAGTAAAAATGGCAATCCTGCCAAAAGCAATCTGCCAACTCAATGCAATCCCCATCAAACTCACAGCACAATTCTTTACAGGACTTGAAAGAAAAATTCTCAACTTTATACGGAAAAAAAAACAGGATAGCCAAGACAACCCCGATCAACAAAGGAATATCTTTAGGAATCACCATCCAGTACTTCAAGTCTATTATAGAGCTATAGTCCTGAAAACAGCATGATATTGGCACAGAAATAAACAGGTAGACCAATGGAAACCAACTGATACCACTGAGATTAATCCTCAAACCTATGAACACCTGATTTTCGACAAAGAAACCAAAAGTATACAATCGAAAATACATAGCATCTATTGGCACCTAGCCCCCACAGGGTCTCTGAATTGTTAGCTGATATCCACAGGGGCATCCTCTTTTCTAGTCCAGACTTACTGCCCCTTCCTTGACCTACTGACATCAACATCTATCAGGAGGAAAACATGCTCTCTTCCACCTAGGGTTTTTCTACTGTGTTGTAAGTCTATATATAAGACTGCTCCATTCTACAAGAGAGGGACCTCTTAGCACTTGCAAATAAAGACACGTTTTAGTAGAAACATCTGGACACCTATCTGGTCTTTCTTTTCCTGATACTTCAGGGTTGATTGTGGCATCAGCGCCACAATTTGAGGTCCCACTGATATCCAGAGAGACATGGAACGACTGGCCAGAAAGAAGACTCAGGAGAGGAGAGCCTCGAGAAAAAAATAATTTAAAAACAGGTACCTCAACTTCTAACAGTAAAATTGAATGGTCAAATTCCCAGGCTTTTACTTGAGAGATCACCTTTTAAAGAGAAGGTGTATTAAATAAATCTCTATCCTTTCACCTGGTCTATTGAGGTCAGGAAAGTAAAGGGGAACTGATTGATTGCCCTCAAAGGCTGGCTCACATGTAAGGCTATGAGGGTGTATTGGAAATTTTAAGTACTAACCAGAGAAAAACAACAATGGAATCTTGAAATTTTGCAGGGAAATGAATGGCAGTATAAGAAACCATCCTGAGTGAGGTAACCCAGTCACAATAATACAAACATCATATGTACTGACTCACATGGATTGTAGATATGAATCAGGGGAAAAACTGCCTACAGTGTCAATGCCAGTGAGTATGGGTAACATGGAGATTCCCAATAGAGATGCATTATACCCCAGAGAAGTGGAATGATCTAAGATCTCCTGAGCAGATTGGGAACATTTGCAGAGACGGGAGGGAACCATGAAAAAGAGAATTATAGGAGGGTTGAAGAAGGCATTGGAGAGCAGGAAGTTTGAGTAAAAAAAGGCAGAGCAGCATGAGTGATACCATAATAGATGCCATCATTGTAAGTTTGAGGAGAGAGCTGACATTATTGAGATTTCTGAGATCTACAAGCAAAACACCAACTGGCAAACTAAGTAATAGAAGAGAGACTATATATATAGCCCCTCCCTGATTTCAAGGTTGATGACTACCATATGCCATCTTAGAACCTTCATCCAGTGAAAGATGGAAGCAAAGACAGACACCCACATCTAAACACTAAACTGAACTCCTGGAATCCAGTGACAGAAATGGAGGAGTGATGAGGAAAGGGATCAAGATCGTGCTGGTGAAACCCACAAAGACAGCTGACTGGACAAAGGGAGTTCTTGAACCCCAGTCTCATGGCTGAGAGGCCAACAATTACTGATCCAGACTCCATAAATACAGTGTCAGTGAGGAGGCCTCAGAAATCTCTGTAGCCTTGGTTAGTAGATCAGTGTTTACCATGGCATACAAATGAACTTTGGGAACCCATTCCACAAGGAGGGATATTTTCTAAGCATGGACACATAGGGAAGGGCCAAGGTCCTGCCTTGGATGACATGACAGACTCTGGCAAACCTCACAAGGAGGACCTCACCCTCCCTGGGTAATCAAGTGGGGATTGGTTGGTGTGCTGGCGGAAGGACAAGAGAGGAGGAAAGTGAGAGGTAGCTGGGATTGACATGTGAAGCATGCATGTTTCTAAGTTAAATAAAAACCTATATTGAGGGAAAATTACTATATATTCTATACAATGAGAGCAGTGTCATCAATTTTCCATGTTATTGATCATGGGACCACATATTTGACAGACCTAGAAAAAATGTTCAAAATTGGCTCTGATGTTTTGACAATAACTAATAAGTATTTGACTATTTTATTGACAACTGCATTGTTGAAATCCATATCTGACACTGCTTTATTGCCAAGAAACTGAGACCAAACTGGCATGGGCTCTAGATAAAAACCATTATTATTTCACTTAAGGAACATTGGCATGAAGGCAGTAGTATATCGTTGAATACATAAATTGTTGCCTCACTCATCCTTTACTACGGAAGGATAATGTTGAGAGTTTGGAGAACTAAGACCTGTCTGGGATTCTTTGTTCATAACCCTCCAATTAGGGTGAAGGAAAGAAACAGCAAATGACTCTAGTGAAAGAGGAGTTTAAAAACAGCATAGGAACAATCAACATATAATTGCCAAGTCTGGAAAGGCAATGACAAAACCCACAAAAGCTCCATATAGCCAAAACTTTGCATTTTCATTGAAAATAGATCCAATGTAATAAATCATTGACAAGAATATATGAGTGGTTCATAACTCCAAGGAGGAGGAAAAACGTTTTCCCTTTTACTTAATCCCAGGATATAGCAATAATATTCAAAATATTGTGTTCCAAAGTAGTTGGCCTCCACAAATTTTCCTCTATTTTTTATGAATTTTCTGATCATGTTTTGATAGAATAAAATATTGTGGGGGAATCATGACGTTGGGTAATGCAATAAATCTATGATATGCAAGTAGGTAAAAGAAAGAAAAATAAATTGATGCATGTACTTTAAAAAAGTATAGAAAAATTCTAGAAATAGTATTTAATCTATCACTGACATATAGAAGAACAATTCTGATATATGTTGGAACACACACACACAAAAACCATGTATACATTGCCAAATTGCTATTGGCATGCTAATTTTTTTCTAATAACTATTCTGGTGAAACAAAGGAAAACATGTAAAATCCTCTGTATGCTATATCCTAGTATAAAAAACTGAAAGAAATACTTTGGCTACACGTCTAGTAGGGATCAAAGATGATGCCACTTTAATTGTTCATTCCTTTTTTGGATTTCACACATGAACCATTGGTTCCTTTCAGCTTACCTGGTTCCAGACCTTTTACTTTCACTGTATTCTCCATCCAGGATTCTTTCTTTTGTTCAAGACACATGATTAGTTCTGGTTTTGTATCAGAAAGACCTAAGAATTAGAAGAGATGTACCATAATTACTAAACATAACGTGGCAAAGATTTGGTTTGCAACACAGGCTTGCACTCATTTAACATAAAGGAATATAAGGAAAGACTCATAAGTGAAGACTTATTAGTGTGTACTAGACAGGTGTTGTAAACTCATAAGAAATTATTTTTTTATTTTTTACAACTTCAAATTCACATACATTTCACAATTACAAATATAAATCTATTGGATTCAAAATATTTTCACACATTATTGCTACTGAATGACTGCATAAATATCCTTATGGGAGAGAATTAAGTGTTAGGCTAAATTAAAAGACCATTTTAAATGATATATTAAAAGTGAAGCAAATATTACACTTACCAATATATAGGAAAATTGGGAGATTGCATTCATTCATAGAAAACATTTCAAAATTATAAGTTTTCTCACATTCCTGGGTTTAAGCAGCATTCAGAAAATAATTTGTTCTCACCTACAGAAACCAGGTGGCTATAAATCTCCAACATGACATCTCTGTACAACTCCCTCTGAGAAGTATGCAGGCTTTTCCATTCCTCCTTGGAGAAATGGATAGCCACATCCTCAAACGTCAACTGACTCTGAAATGAAAAATTTTATCTTTGTGATAATGGTTAGAGTCCTTATTTGCCCCAAAGGAAGGATAAGTTAAGTAAATAACTTGCTGTTTTATCAGTAATTGATATGCGATTTGCAAATTTTATGTGTTAGGAGTGAGGTTGTCGTGACTTTTTAACAGAAAACAAAGTACCCAACATCTAAAATTCTCATGAAATGAGTACATTTTCTCATTTGAAGTTGTAGTCGGTATGAATTCATAATCAATATTCATCTCTAATATCAGAAATTTTGTAAATATTTCATGACATGTATGTACATATATATATAGATAGATATAAATCATGTTTGAAAATAGACATTGAAAAGGGGAAAGCAAGATATAGCATAAAAATGAGAGTGATAAGAGTTTCTATTGAAAATAAGATATAACATGAAGACAGATTTCAAACAATGTATGTCGAGCTCTGAAAATTAAACATTTCTCTGAGGACTGTCAAATTTTCACATCCTTGTGCATATATTTACCTGAGCGCAAGCCATCTGTCAATCCCCTTCCTTGTGGATCCTTTCAGTAAGGTTAACTTAAAGGTTTTCCTTCCTGATACTATACTGTGTATAAGGCAAATGCTCCTTTATTCCAAGCTATGACACTCAGAGTTTGGAAAGTAGCTTCAAAATATCCTCAGTTTCTAAATTGTTCTACAACAGAATAAAAAAACATGAACTTTCAGAAAGTGATCAACGCTTAGTTTTTCCTTTCCTGCATTCAGAGTATCTGTTATTCCAGAAGATGTTGGTTATCTCTACCACCTGGTTTTGTGATGTCCGCACCCTGATTTATACTTTGCACAAGGATTTTCAATCCACCCTGATCATTAACTAAAACACAACTGACACCTGTATTTGAAAGTCTGAATGGAATCTGAGGGGTAGCCACAGGTGAAAATATTTCTCACAATGGGTAAATAATATACTTTTTAAAGACATGACACAATGTGAAACTGAGGCCTCACCATGTCACCAAAAAGCATTCCCTTTGCTTTCCATATTCAAATATTAAATTATAATATTTCATTTTACAAATGATAACATTTGTCTCTCCAGTTCATTTTGAACAGTGAAAATACCTTTTTTGAATTCATTATCAAATGTTATATCTACTCAAAACTAACCATGATATTCGTGCATCAAATGTAACACTTTTGATTGTTAATGAAGGCAGTTCAATTCTCACCATATAAGATATTCTTTTCTTTATTTAAATTTTATTTTGTTTTATTTAAATTAGAAACCAGCTTGTTTGACATGTCAATCCCAATCTCTCATCTTCCCCTCATCTCTTGAGCCCCCAACACATTCCACCTCATGTCCCCAGGGTGGGTGAGGCCCTCCATCGGGAATCTTCAAAGTCTGTCATATTGCTCTTGGCAGGTTCTAGTCCTTCCTCCATGTGTCCAGCCTGAGACAACATCCTTCCTTGTGGAATGAACTCCCAAAATCCATTTGTATGCCATGGGTAAATACTGCTCAACTATCCAAGATCCCATAGATTGCTGAGGCCTCCTCACTGACACCCATGTTCAAGGGTTCTAGATCAGTCCAATGCTGCCCTCTCAATCACCAGTCTGGAGTCCAGGAGCTCCCCCTTGTTCAGGTCATCTACCTCTGTGGCTTTCACTAGCCAGGTCTTGGCTACTTTGGTCATCATTTCTCCATTTCTTCAACTGGTTTCCAGAAGTTCAATTCAGTGTTTAGCTGTGGGTGTCTCCCTTTGCATCCACCAGGCACTATATGAAGGCTCTATGTTGGCATACAAGGTAATCATCAATCTCATTATGGGGGAAGGCATTTAAGGTGGTCTCCCGACTATTGGTTAGTTTGCCAGTATGTGTCATCCTTGTTGATCTCTTCAAATCTCTGTAATGCCAATTTCTGCTCAAACCTATAGTTTCTCCTTGACTCAACCTTCCTGCTCCCCCATGTCCTACTCTTCTCTCCCGCTCTCTTTCTCCAACCTTCTTCTTCTCTCACCTCATGGTTCTAATCCCCTCAGGATATCCCATCACATTCCCCTTCTCTGAGGGAACATGCACATCTTTGTTCTTGTCCTCATTGCATTCCCAGACATATCGAGGTGTGGGTTTTGACTAGCAAAGCCCTGCTCCATGTCAAAAATCTATATATGAGTGAGTACACACAATGTTTGTCTTTTTGTGACTTGATTATCTTACTCAGCATGATTTCTTCTAGTGCCATTCACTTGCCTGTGGGGTTCAAGATTCCATTGTTTTTTTTTTGTTGTTGTTGTTTTTCATTTTGTTTTTTTTTCTGCTGCAGAGTCTCCATTCTGTAAATATATCATATTTACTCTGTCCACCCTTTCAGTATTCAATCCACAATTCCAGAGACGTTAGGAAACAAGGAGAATCCTAAAAAAGAAATACTGTGAAGTGAAAATGGGCAAGAGCTCTTGAACAAATTTGGAGCCATGGGGGAGTGGGGGTGAGGTAGGTGAGACAGGAGGGTAAAAAGGGGTGGAAGGACAAAACAAGAAAACAGAAAGATTTAATTAGTGGGAGAATAGAGGAGATTAAGAAAAGTGACACCTTAATAGATGGAGTTGTTATAAGATTAAAGGGAAATCTGGCACTAGGGAAAAGTCCAGCAATCCATATGTTGACCTCAACTAAGAATCTATGCAACAGTGAAGAGGCTATTTTAAATGCCCTTTCACTTTAATGGTATTGATGAGTACCAAAAATGCCATCCTAGAGCCTTTATACTGGAACTAATGGAAGCATAAGCAGACATCAACACCTAAGCACTTAGCAGAACTCTTGGATCCAGTTGTAGAGAGGGAAGAGTGAGGAGCAAAGGGGCAAAACTATGCTTGTGAAACCCAGAGAAACATATTATGTGAGCAAGCAGGAGCTCATAAACCCCAGTCTAACAACTAGGGACACAACATAGGACTAAGCCAGGCCCCCTGAATATGTTTGTCAGATAGGAGACCTGGGTAGTCTATTTGGTCTGTGTTAGAGGAACCAGATATTATCCCTATTGCATGAATGGAATTTGGGAGACCATTCCACATGGAGGGATACTTTTTCAGCCTAGACATGTAGGGAATGTCCTAGGTCCTGCTCCAAATGATGTGACAGACTTTGGTGATCCTCCATGGGTGGCCTCACACTCCCTGGGGAGTGTTTGGTGGAATGGAATGAGGTTTTGGTGGTTGCCATATGAGAACATTATGTAGAAGAAACTAGGATTGGTAAAGTAAGATGGTATCTAATTTAAATAAACATTTATTAAATAAGAAAAACAACATCATCAATACAGCCAGTATCAGTGCCAGAGCATTGTTATTTGACATGTCTTTGCTGATTCTGGTGATGGCAGATTTTTTCATGGTCTTCAAATTTATGTATTAGAACAGATTTTACTTTCATATGTTAGTTACTAAAAAAATGAAACTGAAAATTTCCCTTATGATCTGTGTCTTAAAAAGTGTATTTTCCTAAAACTGCTCAGAGTGGAGAGTTATCCCAGATTTCAGGAAATACCACTGCTTTTGTTCTGCAGCGGGCCCAGGAGATTTTCCCTGCACCAATTTGGTGATGACAGATATCTCAGGTGATCCTTCACACATTTCTGACCCGCGTGGATACTTGAAACACATGTGTTGAACCTACATGCATATCAGAAAAATATCATGTACATTAAAGTAACTATATTTTAAATGGTAGCCTCACAGTCCCTGGGCATCTTTTTCGTTTAGATCTCAGTCACAATTATATTCACGTTCTTGACAAGTGTGAGGTGTTTAAATCTCACAACTCTCTTCTTCCTCTGCTATCAGCTCAGGGAGAAGGAATATCAGGGTGATTAAAACTGTGCTAATCATTTAATGAACTCCACCTTTAATAACACTTAACATGGATTCTCCTACAGTATTAAGAAGGAATAGACCCACGTATCCATGTTTCACATATTCATGTAAAATACATATTTTTTGAAATGTGACATTTCCTTTTGGCACAATTATGACTGTTTACTTCACTAAACTATCATAAGAATTGTGTAAATTTCCAGATCTTTACTTAGGATTTGAAGCCTAGCGTCTTTAGTGACATAAGAAGTGGGAGAAAATAAACAGAAAATGAAATTACAAGCTCTAACATTATGTAACATGAAGGAATCATATTTGCCCACAGTGTATAGAATGGGGCCACTCAAACAAGAAAGAAGCTTCTTCATGGAATGAGTTCCTACCTTATAGTACAAAGACCCTCCCTATACCAGGTAGCCACCTATAGTAATAAGATTTAGCCTCAACACAGCTTGAAGTGGCTCCTTTTATGCATGAAGATTTTTAGGTTCAAATTGAAAACACTGGCAATAGTACAGAAGTGCCCTTACTTACCTATTTCTTCACTCTTCTCTTTCCAAATGAAAGGAAAAATACTCAACTGGTATGGAGTGTGAAAACATATCTTGTATCCAGTGCAACCTGGCTCAGTCAATCCTATGATTTGGATCAGACTCCACATACTCAACTTTTAAATTTATTACACCCTGCCCTCTTTCCAAGATGCCAGTTATTACTTTCATAACAATCATGTGCCCCTAATGCTGTTTGCCTCAAGGACATAAATAATTTCATGTGAATTTATCTGAATCATATCTTGGAATGAAAATAAGCATAAATTACACAAACAAAATAATAAAAGCATCTAGGAAGAATGGGGAAGAACTTTCTCCATGAATCCTTGGAGTGCAGACTGTATTCCAGAGAGAAGCATTTTTGGCACTTAGGTTCAATACTAAGCAATGCTTTAGCCAGTGTTGGAAAGACATGGACAGTCAAGCATGTGGTGCACACCTGGTATCGGGAGTATATCTAATCAACCAACCAAACAACAGAGACATACATGTAGGCAAGCAAAATGCGTATACCCTAAAAAACAACAAACCCTGTAAATGGTTTGGAAAAGAATGAAAAACTCTACTCTTTGCCAAAATGCTTTTATATCACTGTGAATAACAGCAAACCATGTGGTGTTCAAGAATAAGCAAATTCTCCTGGCAAGAAGGAGTGCAGACAACTTAGCTACATAATTAGTAGATATGAGGTTTTGCAGAAGTCATCAGGCAGATATCAGGATATCCATGTATTACTTTCTGTACTGAAACACCATAACCAAAATTATTTTGGACCAAAAAATGGTTTCTTTGGCTTAGATTTCCATATTCTGATTGTAATTAAGAATGTCAGGACAGTTAAGCAGGGCAGAAACATGGAAGCAAGAGCTTGTACAGAGGCCATGGAGGGGGGCTTTGTGTGCTATGTTATACAACCTGGAAACACCACACTAGGGATGGAAGCACCCACAATGAGTTGAAACTGCCTTCATCGCTAATTAACATGATGACTTAGAGCTGGATCTGATAGAGGCATTTTTCTCAATTAAGGCCCCCTTCTATTAGGTAACCTGGTTTGTGTACCAGGTTTACCTAATACTAGAAGGAACAGTACCAGGTAAACAGTACACGTGAACTGACAAATATATCCAAGTCAAACTTTACCTCCATTTGCACAGAATTTCTTTTATCTAACATGTTTTAACTGATTCCATAAATTAGCTTCCTGTCATTGTGAAATCATTTTTAGAAAAACATTGCCCATTTGGTATCTATCTATAGATAATATGCCATTGCACAGCTCCCATCACTAGATATTTCACCAGCTATTTATTTGTTGGTGAAATAGGTCACCATTTAACATCCCATGTACACTAACTTA